GTAAGAACATCTAATAAAAAATTAATAAAGAGGAAAAGTCGGATGATTGACAACTGCAACTCATGGAAAAAAGGAAAAAATCAAAGAATAACAAAAGAATGTAAGAAAATATTTAGAGACAAATAAGAACCGAAATAAGAAAGTCCAAAGAAAATTAGTTAAAAACACATTATGAAAAGATAGATTTGCTGGGAAAAAACACGATACATTTAATATGCATAAAAAAGGTAAAACAAGCAGATAAAACATCATCACAGATACAAATCAACAAACATGCATATGGACCAAATATATATAGGAACTATGATAATAATAGGTCCGAACAACTTCCGCCTTACATATTTAATGACCACGTATTAATCACATCAGATGATGTGGAAGAAGCAATATCACAATATTGAATACTGAAAAACTTATAAACTCCGAAGATACCTAACGACTAAAAAATATTTAATGACATATATTTAACCGAAGTAATACCAGGATCATGGCTGAAGTCAAATTTTATTGCTCTATCAAAGAAAACAAAATCCGTATCCTGTAATGATTTTCGGACCATCAGCGTAATAAGCCACATGTTAAATTTATTTCTTAAACTTATACCATAAAGGATATATAGACTATGCGACAAAATTACCCGTACCCGTTTTGTTTTTGGAGTGCAGTAGGTACCAGAGAAGCTATCTTTGTATACAAGTGCGATTTCAATTTTGTAGAGATGTGAATTGCGATATTTATGCACGTTTCATTCATTACCAAAAGGCGTTCGTTACAGTAAAACACGACAAGGTGATGGAAATATTACCAAATATTGAAATGAATAAATGTAATCTAAGAATTATTAGCAATTTTTACTAAAATCAAACATGTTCTATTAGTAGAGAGGCAGCAGAATTAGATGGGATCAAAATCAAATGTGGGGTCCGACAGCGATGTATACTCTCACTCTTGGTATTCAACATATCCTTAGACAAAATATTTTAAGAAGCAGTAAGGGATGTTAAAGCCTGACTTAAAATTAACGGGGAATGTATCAATAACATTAAATACGCCGATTTAGTAAATATTAAGATCTCTAAAGAAACATCAAATTGGAAGAATCAGTGTAAATGGTCAACAAATATAAAGAATTAAAACATAGATCTACCTTTGTATAAACGCCAATGAACATTAGGAGTATTCCCTAGGAATCATATACAAGATAGAAAAAGCAAGATCTGCATTTCGAAAAAGGGCTAAGCTATTCAAATACCATGATTCATCAGTACCCATAAGTAACAGGGTACCACGACGTCTTTTCTATACTGTTATATGTGGTTGAGTAATAAACTCTCATAGACGCTACCTGCAAGAAAATTGAGGCTTTCAAAATGTGGCTTTATTATCGAATCCTGAAGATCTCCTGCACAGACCACGTTGGTACTTTTTATTAAGAATGCAAAAAAGGAAAAGAGTTTTTCCCCACAGTAATAACAGCTAAAATCGAATAAGTTTGTCAATCCATGACGAACAGCGAAAGATATGGGTCGCTGCAATTAATTCTACAAGCAAACATAGAAGAAAAACGAAGAACAGGGGGGCGCTGGTTTTCCTGCCTAAAAATTCTACGTACGCGGTGTAACACAACAACTACAAATCTTTTTAGATTGGTAGATGTTTTGCAGCAGCATGCAAAATAAAAATTACCATAATGGTTGCCAACATCCAACGGATAGGCAGTATAAGAAGATAAAGGTCTTTTGGTAACGCTTTGTTGCGGAGGAGTAATGGTATTCTCCCGAGGTCTGTTTGTACACTCAGATTTTTCCGGTAGTCCAGCTTTGGTTTTATGGGGATTTCTTGTGGCTAATGTACTAGCAGTCATTTTTGCTTCTCTTATCATCTTTCTTTTTAGAGCCCAGAGAGACGGTTTTCTTACTTTGTGCAGAGTCTTTTCCGCTCAAAATACCTTCTGGGTGCGTATTTGGGACAGATACGGTACCCACTACTGAAGTCGCTTCGAATCCCGTTGTTTGGTTTGTGTTTTCAGTCTCGTTCTCCATATCTGTTCCTATGAGTTGGGACGAAATATCATCAAGCACGGCATTATGCTCTTACCGTGCCAAGGTTATAATCCCCCAAAGTTTGCGCCATCTCTCTGAGGCATAACAGAATTAAATTATCTCCAATACATCTCAAGTTGCAAGAAAGATTACTTATTTTAAATTCTGTTCCACGAGAATGGGGCATAGGATGTAGGGATACGGGATGTATGAAGAATGAAATCTTCTATGAATACATAGGAAACATCTTATATATAAGTACCTAGTTGCAAAAAACACTAATTTTCCAGTCATTTTGTTGGTTGATGGACATAAAACTCACTTAATTCATAATTTAGTGAATTATGGTCAAAGTTACAAATTATTTAAACCATTAAAGCGCACCTCCAGATCTATAATGGCACAACTCAAAAAGTATAGTTTTGAGTAAATCACGTTTGAAGTTTTAGACAAAATAGTTTATGCTATGAAATCACATATAATGTAAATACAAATAATTTTTTATTCACCAGTATTTTACATCAGTATCATTAAAAAAACGTAAAAATAAATATTTAAATTGTTTTTTGACATGTGCTTATATTACCGCTCAAAAATGTACATCTCAAGCATGTCAACTTCAAAAGTACCTGTTTTAACATTAATTAAACGGATATGACACTATACGTCATCTTTAGGTTTAAAATAATTGTTTAAAATCCTTTATAAAAGGTATATAAAAAATGCCCCAAATGACCTATCACAAACACATTGCAGAACGTTTTCGGATTGATAAATTCATCATCAGTGCAAACGGTTGTACATGCTAGTAGCCACCAAAATATATGGGTCAAAACCCTTTAAATATTTTAAATTTGTAGTTGTTTTACATTATTAGTAGTTATAATTTGTGATGTTTAAGTTACCGTTGGATAGGTAACATGGCGGCGTATGATTCTACATAAGTAAAATGGTCCTGAGACGAAGTGTCTACGAGGACCTGTTGATAACCTGTTGTTATCAACCCTGTAGGTGGTAATGAAATCATATGCAACTTACAAGATATTCCTGTTGTTACAGAAGAAAATCTACTTTCGGATTCTTTAATTCAACTTCCAGAAAACGTTAATATATATATATATATATATATATATATATATATATATAATATAAAAGACGTCACAGGATACAATGACAAAAGATATTCGATCGACATTCAATAATCTTCCTTTAGTTAATCAAGACAACAAATTATCTAAGGAAATTGAGACCTTAATCAACAAATTGTTTTTTTGGCCAAAATCCCCAGTAAGAAAGAAAGTCAGATCGTCAAAATAGAGAGGGCGTAAAATTGAAGAAAAAGTAAAACAAGAAAAAATAAAATTAGAACGAAAACAAAAGCGAATTGACGCAAAAGGTAAAATAGGAAAATCAAGATAAAAGTAATAAAAAAAAATTGCCACAAGCTTTAATTCCGGGATCAAAAAATGTCAAACTGTTGTGAAGAATAAAGAAAATGTTACAGAAAATACAGTTGATATTGCAGATACAAATATTTTTAAAGCAGACACACTTATTGATCATACAATTAAAAGCACTACTTTGAAAAGTGGAATTTAGAGTACATATACCAGATGCTGTTCTCCTCAAAGAAAAACAAACCTTGTCACGCAACCAATTTCCTGATTCTGTAGAGGAAAACGTTAATCTGCCCATAATTGACAACATATTTTTTATGCCTGCGACAATATGAATTCATAAAATTTGAAGAATACATCCCACAGCAAATGTACAAATATGGAAACCAGCAAAGAAAAACGTTCTGGTGAGTCGGCTAAAAGAAAGTTATTTTTTGAAACTGAGGGATATCCAGAACATAAAAAAATACAAATTCTTTCAGATATAACGGTGAAACAATCAGACCATACCAAACCACCTGTAAATAACCTTTTGTATACAGAATTGTGTTATTCTTGTTACTATAATATATCTAAATCAAAAGTTGGATTAAAATGTCAATTTTGTGTTAGAGACCATGTGTGGCACTTGTGCAAAAAAACAACAAAAAATTAAAACTTAAACAGTTTTGTGTGTCTTACCTGTATGAACAAAAAACAGAAAATTTGGAATTGTATGAATGGCCAATGACTGTAATTCTATATGCCAATAACTATATTTGTACGGCCAATAACTTTGTAGTTCTGTAAGTTTTCAAATTTGTGTTTATTTTTAGTATACATTATTATTTCTAATGAAAATAACTTGAGTTTTTATAAAATCTGATGTTTCATTATTATTATTATTAAAAAACCCTTACAAAATATTTCACTTTAAAAGATACCAATTTACAATTTTAATTTAATTGGCAATTCCTTAAGTGGCCAATCACTCTACTCATTACCCTAAACAATATTAATTATTTTCTTTATATATAAATTGTTAAGCTTTGGTATTACTTTAGTGCAATAAAACGCACTAAGTTGCTTTTCCCATTTTCAGACATCTGTTACATTGCGAATGTTTAGATATCGAAGAATGGTTTTGAAACAAAAGAAATAGGAGTCAGTATAAGTTTTTCTTAATTGGAAAACAGTTACATTTATATATTGTATTTCCTAGCCTACCGTAATCCGTAAATGTATTATAGTGCGTATTTCGTACTTTTGAATTCATCCACCCACCTTACCTCGTACTTCTGGTACGAATATAACCTCGACAAGTTCCATTTCTGTGTATTAACTTGATGGAATACCTCTAAACATAATGTGATACAAGATGACGACAGATACAAACTAACTATTTTTAATTACCACGAATGACAAAAAATATAACTAATGAAGACAAGATGACTGCGGTTAGAGATAAACGAAAAAAGGATAGGTGATAACGTGCAAAAATGGAAATTTATGACTGTTACATTATAAAGATCACGTTGTAATGATCCTGCATAGGATGTGGAAAGATTTATTAGCTCCATATTCATTTACAAATCTTTATTTAATAATATAAAAGTATGCTAAAATATCAATAACAAATTTAAAAATACCACAAACTTCGTTAAAGCTTTTAACACAGAGAAAAATAAATTATGCAAGATTCGGATAATCATTTTCTTTTAAAAAAAAAAAAGTTCTGATATAACTGGGTAGTAATTATTTTTTTTTTAACATTCACTACCTTTTCAGGAACTTTTCGGTCTCAAAGGTAAGAGATTTGTTGCTGGTAGTGCGAAGGTTTTTGGTTTGTTGTCTTCGGCGACTAAGAAAAATTCCTAGCGTCAATAAAGCACATAGAAAGGTAAATATTACTAATATTTTTTGAAATATGGGTAGAACAACCACTTGTATGTATACCAACCACTGAACCTTTAGGGGTAAGGATTCCTGAACCTGCAAAACAATTGTAATTAATCACAAAAATATAAAAATTTTTGGTTTCTTATACTAAATGTTTGCACATTACAAATAGTTTTATAAAATAATTTATATCATGTGATCTTTTATTACTGTTGTTATATTTCATAAGCAAGTTTTCATAAAAAAGTCTTATGTTAGTATATGTGTAATGGATTATTTTTTTATATACTTTAAAATATCTTTAAAATATAGTACATATTTTTATTATATAAGCTTTATAAATTTATTTATTTAGACCATCCATATGTATGAATAAACACACATGTATAAGTAGCAGACATAAAAGGACTACATACAATAAGCATTAAAAAATTGAAATAAGCTCCAAGGATGACTTACTATTTTTACTGAAAATAAACCACAAGTTTAGTTTAAAACAAGTTTATTTGGCTTTTCCAATTTCACCCCATAACCTTTCTAAAATTTATAAGTTATATAAGTTATATAAGTGTCCTTAATAAATATTAATAGTTAAACAAATTTTGTTTCTGTTGGTAAAAATGTCAATTTTATGTGACTTTTTTTTCTATTGACAATTTAAACATATATTATACATTTTAAAGTCGATGACTTGTCAATATTTGTGAGTTTTGATCCTGGAACGACTTTATTGGGTAAAACTTCATTCGCTTACATGACCGCTCCTTTTAACTTAAGAATAGTAGTCAGAAGAATTGTTGTAAAAACAACCTATATAATATTGTAATCATGTAGTTATTTTATCAAATTGTGCTCTCAGGTCGTCAGCTATCGTGTTAACGTGTGTGCGACTGAGTTCCTACATCAGGGACCCGTCCGCCCTCCCTTCGTTATATAACTTAGGATTCTTAGGAAAGACAGTGCCAATTTACCTCTCGGTAAGTGAAGGCCGGGTGTGTGTGATCCCGAAAAATACGTAAGCCGCGGATGCGCTATCGTGAGCCGGTGTTTTCAGTGTTTTGTGTTAAAACGTATATAGTTGGTCTCTCAATTTTATCATTTCATGTATATCTGTTACTGCCTCCCCGCACTCACTGTAAAGCTAATATTTGTATAACTCTTTATGTAACTATCAGAATTGCGATAATTGTCAATGTTTGAACCAGCCCTTGAGTCTATTGTGTAAATAAATCGAAGGAAAATACCTCTTAATTGTTTTATTGCTTCAGTGGTCCTTAATAAATATTTTGAAGCAATTAGGTGTTCAAATACGCCTCTCTTAAATGTGGATAGTTTGGCAACAAAGTCTACCTCTTTCTCTCATTTGTGTTCTCTTCGATCCGGATATTGTTTTTATCGCATTTGTGGTCTCTTCGATCCGCATATTGTTTATCGCAATTACTCTATCTTCATAAATCAAATTAATTTTCTCTTATTTAATTCTTTTCCCACAAAAATTAAAATAAAATCCATTACTAAGTGCTCTTCACAAAATAGAACTTTGCATAAAGATGAACAATCTCACGGCAAATGGAACATTACGTCACCACGCAAGTGTTTGAAGTGCAACATTCTTAGATTTATCGTTATCGCTCCTCGCCGGCCGGAATCAAGTAAAATTGCTGACAAGAAAAACATGTAAATTTTTTACATTCATTTCTATTTGGTGAGTTCGTTCCAAGATATATTTTTATAAGCACGCGTACAGGGACATTCAAAAGTTCGAACGCATATTATTAGTATACAGGACGAGTTTATTTTTCGCAGGATTCCTACAGACATTATTTTCTGAGACTCTTGTTTATTATACGGGGTGGACTAAGCTGTGTTTTAGACTCTAAAATTTTTTATTTCTCGTGTATCTCTCATAGATAAATATCTCGCAAAGCTTTCGATACATCTCTAACCGCAATGGATCAATTAAAGAAATAACGCAAACCGTTGAAATCAAAAATCTCTCGTATCTCTAATTGGTTAAGGGATAACTCTGCTCAAGAAACGGATCCCTTGCAGTTCCAACTCCGTCGTACTGAACTAACGAATTGTTACGCCAAATATGATGACCTCATGGATCAGATTGAGGAACTGGACGAAGCAAACACTGAAGAACGCGATAGGGAAGAAGTTGAAAAAAAGTACTTCTCAACTCTGGCAGGTCTTCAACATAGAATGGAGATGCTCCAACCTCTTTCACACCAGTCCAGTTAAACTTCTCCACGTTTATCTAGTGCTAAAGTGACTCTTCCCGAAATTAAAATTCAAACTTTCTCAGGATGCTTCTCAGAATGGAGTGCATTCTATCAGCTCTTCGAGACGTTAATTATTAATAACCCGGAACTCAACAACGTCCAGCGTTTTGTTTATCTCAAATCTTTTCTACGCAACGAACCTCTCCAGTTGGTAGAAAACATCCAAGTTTTAGAAGAAAACTTCCAAATCGCGTTAGACACTCTTCGAAATCGCTACGAAAACAAATCGCGCGTAGTTAGTTTGCATATACAGCGTCTTTTGAAAGTTCCATCCTTAGTCAAAACTAATGGAAAGGCCTTACGTGAATTTTTGGTCACCGCAAAACAGACCTTACTCGCGCTAAAAAATATGAATGTACCCATCGACCATTGGGATCTCTTATTAATAGAAATATTTTTGCAAAAAGTGGACTTTACTACTCACCGGTCTTTCGAATACGAGTTAGGGTCAAAAGATATTCCACGCTAAATCAATTCTTTGATTTTTTAGTTAAAAGTTAAACTCCTCAGATAATAACGATAAAAAAGTTATTAAAACTCACTCTAAAACGGTTCTCTTCTCTTCGGCAAGTAATAAAAATAAGTCGTACTCCAAAACATGCGTATTTTGTAATAATGCTACACACACTATTTATGCATGCACAAAATTTGCTAATCTTTTCTTACAGGATAAGTATAAATTTGTTAATGAAAACAAACTATGTCGCAGCTGTTTAGGAACTAAACACTTTTCTCAGAATTGTTCGTCTCAACGTTCATGTAGTATATCCAATAAAAGGCATCACACACTCTTGCACAATGACCATGAAAATAGCTCTTCTTCTAGTAGATATTTTCAACAACAAAATCACGCAACCTCTCGCAATGTACAAAATACTTGGTCTGATGGTGAAGCCGGTCCAAGTAATTCTGTCTCTCTGAATCTCAGACTTCTCAGGTCTCAAATGTGATGACTTCTCTCTCTGCTCTGTCAATAAAGCAGGATGTTCTGCTGGCAACCGCTCTAGTCACTATTTATTCAAAGCATGGCGTACCCATACACGCTAGATGTATTTTAGATAATGGATCTCAGTCGTCATTTGTCTCTAAAGATTTGGTTCAAAAATTAAATCTCCCTCCTTACAGCAAAAGGTTACAAATCTCTACTATCTCTGAACATAGTTCATTCTCGAACAAAATGGTCGATCTAGAAATTTTTCCATACAAAAGAAATGGTAATGGTTTCAAAATCTCCTGTGCTATTTTAGACAACATAACTTGTAGACTCCCCCAGGTATCCATAAACAGAAGTAAATTTAATATCCCCTCTACAGTCACTCTCGCAGATCCCACCTACTCTGTCCCTGGAAATATAGATCTTCTTCTTGCCAGTGACATATATAGCGAGTTGTTATCGGATGGTTTAATACGTTAAGGTAAAGGACTCCCTGTTCTCCAGAACACACACTTAGGGTACATTATGTTTGGTTCTTTACCTCATTACGCACTTCACAAAGGAATTTATCACTCACAGTTGTCCCCTACAGAGTCAAATGTCTTTATTTGTCCAGTCCACATCTGAGGAAGATAAGCTCGATAATATAATTCGACAATTCTTCGAAGTCGAAGAAGTGACCCCCTCTGTTAAAATCTGCTCCTCTGAGGATCTGGCTGAACAAATATTCACTGAAACAACTCAAATTCTACCTTCTGGTCGGTTTCAGGTAAAGCTTCCTCTCATTTCTGAAACAGCACATAAAATGCTGAGAAATTCTTACAATATGGCAAGGAAAAGGTTTATTAGTTTAGAAAATAAACTCTTAAAACACGAAAATGTATACTCTCAATATAAAGCATTCATCAATGAATATGTTTCTCTTGGACATGCCAAAAGGGTTCCTCTTTCTCTCACAAATGTGCACTTAGAAAATAAATACTTTTTACCTCATCACTCTGTCATTAAAGAAGAATCATTAACTACCAAATTACGGGTGGTTTTTGATGGCTCCATGAAAAGTTCCACTGGCTATTCTCTTAATGACATCCTGTTGAAAGGAAAAACTCTTCAGCCTGAACTTTTCGACATTCTCCTTCGGTTTAGATTGTATACCTATGTCTTCACTTCCGACATACAAAAAATGTACAGGCAGGTACAAATTCATCCTGATCACACAGTCCTGCAGAATATCCTCTGGCGGGATTCTCCAGAACAGGACATCGAATGTCTTGAGCTTCAAACCGTAACTTATGGAACAAAAAGCGCAAGCTTTCAAAGTACTCGTTGTTTGATGAAATTAGCTAAAACTCATCAAAACAACTACCCATTGGCCTCCGATGCTCTCTTAACAGGCTGCTATGTAGATGACATTCTATATGGGGCCAATGACACGCAAACTCTTCTTAAGGCTCATACTGAGATAACTGACCTACTCAACAAGGCATGCATTTCTCTTCATAAATGGTGCTCTAATTCAAAAATGTTTTTGGAAAATGTTTCTAGTCTCTCTACAAACTCTGCCTATGTTATTTCACCAGAGAATGCTTCTAATAAGGTTTTAGGTATCTGTTGGAACCCCAGTACTGATACATTTTCAATTTCTGTACCTCAATTATCAATAAAGGATAATTACAAAAAAAGGGAAGCACTCTCTATTATCGCCCAAATTTTTGATCCACAAGGGCTCATTAATCCCGTAACTGTTCTTGCTAAAATTATTATGCAAAAAATTTGGATTTCTAAAATTAATTGGAATGACCCCGTGGATTCAAATATTTTAAATGAATGGTTGAAGTTTATAACTGATCTCGCTGCCCTCAAAGACATAA